GCCCCGCCCCGCCGCGCCGCGCCGCGCCGCGCCGCGCCGTTCCAGTGAGGCGTTCGGAGGCACCGGCGCGGTCCCGCCCTTCTGCGCCTCACAACAGCCCCGTGAGGTAGGCCCGGCGGCGCAGAGGGGGGGGAAGGGCCCTTGGGAAAGGGGGATTGAGAGTGTTTGTGTGTGTGCGCGTGGGGGGGATTGTGGACTGCGTGGAAGATCCAGCCCTTATCGCTGAGCGGGATGCGTTGCCAACCTCCAGGAGGCACCTGGAGATCGCCTGCTGTTAACCGCCGATCTCCAGGCGACCGCGATCAGTTCCCCTGGAGAAAATAGCCACCTGAGGCTCCACTCCCGAAACCTCCAGGCATTTCCCAACCCAGAGCTGGAAAACCTAGCCTGGGACAATGGGGGAGGGGGGAGACCACCAAGCCTCCATTGCATCCACACAACAACCCTGCGAGGTAAGTCACATGGAATGGAAGGAGGCTAAGCCCAGGCCACCCAGTGGGGATCTGGACCCTGGGCCTACTTAGCCACCTCCTGCTCTCCGGTCTGGTGGCTCATCTTGCGCCTTGAGCAGTGTTCTTTCCAAGTTTAAGGACGCTCTGGGCGGTCTTCTCCACCGTTTCATCCTCACAACAGCCCTGTGAGATAGGTTAGGGTGAGAGTGTGTGACTGGCCCAAGGTCACCCAGCGGGCTTCCGTGGCACAAATGGGGATTCTATTCCAGGTCTGCCAGATCCTAGTCCGGGAGTGTCAAACATACAGCACGCGGGCCGAAAGCAGCCCGTCCGGGGCCCTTATCTGGCCTGCAAGCAACTGGTCATTACCTTTATTGTCAGATGACAGAAGGCTGGGCATTATGTCCCCGTATAGTGCCCCAGTGCTAATGTGTAGGGCGGTGGAAGTGTGAGGGCAGGCTTCAGGGAACTACTTCGAGGAAATACTGTGTTAATGCTTTAAGCATGGTTGTATTTTGAGTAAAAATTAATATTGCTAATTGGGTTGGCCTGTGTCCTTTTATAAAGTTTCTATCCCTGGTTCCTGGTGAAACACAAATCTGCCTGCGTGTTCCCGTTGCCGAATTGGAAGTATGCAGTCAGAGTCCAACGAGTTAGAGGAATATCTGTTTAATGCATTGAAACGGGGAATACAGGGCTGAGTACCTTTAACACTTCAGCAATCCCAAAGCTGTATTCTCCCATAACCAGGAAGGGCAGAAGGTCTTATACCCCAAATGACATCACTTATGGTTTACACATTAAAGGGTCTCTAATTGTTTCCGTGTGCCTTGGTGTTTAGTCATGCCAGCCACATGACCACGGAAATGTCTTCGGACAGCACTGGCTCTTCAGCTTTGAAACGGAGATGAGCATCGCAACCCTAGAGTCGGATTTACCTTTTTAATTGGTACCAGGCAGTTAACATCATACAAAGCATCATTTGACTTTAAACCTTACTATTGGTCTCTCCTTATACTGGTCATGTATTGCCAGTGATTGCATTTGTTTATCTGTTCCCCAGGACAATGGGAACATTAGAGAACACTGGGTTCCTTTCTGACCTCCATACGGAGAGCTAGCTGATAAGGGCTGTGGATCACATTAAACTTCGTCCTCGGCGTCCTTGCAACTTACGCAGTCCATTTCTATTGCATCCTAATTCCATCTACGGAGGCTTCTAATAATACTTGTGGCTTAATATGGCTTCTTATACAAAACATGCAGTTATAAAATATATATTCTGCAGTAAGTTTCTCTAATCAGAAGATTCTAGGGTACATACCGAGATCTGGCTCCATTATGATTAAACTTTTGAAGGCACAGTGACAGCTGTCAGCATATAAACATGTCAGGGGAAATGTCAGAACCCAGATTCAGAAATCACAATTCATTTTTCCCTTGTCCTACACTGGCATTACGTTTTATGGCCCACACGGCCGGCCCGACAAACTGAGATTTATGTCAGATCTGGCCCTCGTAACAAATGAGTTCAGCATCTTTGGGCGCGATCACACACTCTAAATAGTCCCCTTTCCAACTGGATTTTACTGAACTAGCAAAATCCAGCTGGAATGTGCATTAAAAGTGGATTACTTAGGGTGTGTGACGCCGGACATGCTTTACTACTGCACCACACTGGGTGAAATGGAGGGGTGGAAATGTCAGTATTTGAGGCTAAAAGGAAGGGGGCTGTGAGGCTGTGTCAGAATGCGCTGGGAGCTTCTTTCCCAATTCAAAGTACTTGCATAATCTACCCACCCCCACCCCATAAAGATAGCTCAAGATGGGTAGCCGCGTTAGCCTGTCTAGAGCAACAGAAAAGAGTACTGTAGAGGTGAGCAGTGACTCACGAAAGCGCCTAACCTGCCACACGTTTTGTTACTCTTTAAGGCACTACTAGACACTTGCTCCTTTCTACACACCCCGTAAATATTTCTTATGTCCATGCTACTAAACCCAAGCCTGGCTTTCAGCTTAAAAATACTTGGGAACGGCTACAATGAGAATGTGCAGCAGCAACTCCCCTTTGTACAGCGGAGTAAGTTAAGCACTAGAACCTGGGAGATCCAATGGAAGCTGATGGGCAGTAGGTTCGGGACGGACAAAAGGAAATACTACTTTACACAGAGAGTGATTCAAATGTGGAATTCGCTGCCAGAGGATGTAGTGATGGCCACAGGAGCGAACAGCTTGAAAAGGGGATTCATGGAGGAGAGGTCTATCAGTGGCTACTAAAGGGAACCGCCACATTCAGAGGCACCAAACCTATGAATCCCAGAGTCAGGAGGCAACATCAGGGATGGACCCTCACTGGTCTGATCCAGCAGGGCTCTTCGGATGTTCCTATGAAGGCCTCGGCCTCTCTGCCCTGTTGTTGGCTCTCCAGAATGAAACTAGCTGGCCACTGGGTGAGACAGGATGCTGGACTGGATGGGCCACTGGTCTGATGTTCTTATGAAGGCCTCGGCCTCTCTGCCCTGCTGTTGGACCTCCAGAGGAACTGGTTGGCCCCTGTGTGAGACAGGATGCCGGACTAGATGGACCCTCACTGGTCTGATCCAGCAGGGCTCCTCTGACGCTCTTAAGAACACAAACCTCTGTATAGGCTGATTTCAGCACCTCAGCACTAGCCGTAAGGTCAATGCCCCGCTGTGCTCTATAGAAATCTTGGGGAAATTAAGTTCTGCTCCCAAACCAAGGTTAGGAGGCGAGCAGGGGTCAGAACGAAAAGGATCGGAACAGAAGGACCGGCCAAGAGGCTCTAGGATTCTTTATTGAGAAACCTGAAACTTATATTTTCTCTTTCAACTGTAATTTTCTCTTTCTGACTCCAACCCCCTTCCTCCCCACCCCCCATCTTCCAAAGTCTCTCTCCGGCCCATGCTTCTTTGGGGCCTTCGCTCGACTGAAGCATCAGCTCTCGGCTTTCTTGTCTTGCTCTACAGTGGGCTGTGGCAGTGGCGGCAGTGGCTGCTCCTCCTCCTTCTCCTCCTCCTTCTCCTCCGGGGTGGGTGAGCTCGGGTCAGCCGTCTTCGTCTCCATCGCTGGCTCCTCTGGAGACGGGGTTCCCTGCTTGGCCGGGACTGGCTTGCTGGCGGACCCCTCGTCGGAGCTGCTGCTGCTAGTCCCGCCTTCCTTGCTCTGCAGCTCCTAAGGGAGAAACCGGGGACGAGACAGGAGGGTAGAAACGACCGGTGCGAATGCGGCCACATCCTCACACCGGGCAACTCTGTTCCGAGATGCATCTACCCCTCTGGTTTTTTTAAAACTGATCCGAACAGAAAAAGAAACGTAATGGTCAAGAGTGGCGAGTCTACACATCAGCATCTATAAGAAGGTTTTAACAAGGGAATTGGATAAACGTATGGAGCAGAGGCCCATCAGTGGCTATTAGCCACAAGGTATAGATAGGAACTCTCCGTCTGGGGCAAGGGATGCTCTGTATTCTTGGTGCTTGGGGGGGGGGCAACAGTGTGAGGGCTTCTAGTGTCCTGGCCCCCCTGGTGGACCTCCTGACGGCACCTGGTGTTTCTGGCCACTGTGTGACACAGAGTGTTGGACTGGATCAGCCATTGGCCTGATCCAACATTGCCTTCTCTTATGTCCTTATGTCTGGGGAAAGTGATGCTCTGTATTCTTGGTGCTTGGGGGGGGGCAACTGTGGAAGGGTTTCTAATGTCCTGGCCCCACTGCTGGACCTCCTGAGGGCACCTGGTATTTTTGGCCACTGTGTGACACAGAGTTTTGGACTGGATGGGCCATTGGCCTGATCCAACATTGGCTTCTGTTATGTTCTTATATGGAACGGAGGTCCATCAGTGGCTATTAGCCACAAGGTATAGATAGGAACTCTCGGTCTGGGGCAAGGGATGCTCTGTATTCTTGGTGCTTGGGGGGGAGGCAACAGTGGGAGGGCTTCTAGTGTCCTGGCCCCACTGCTGGACCTCCTGATGGCACCTGGTGTTTTTGGCCACTGTGTGACACAGAGTGTTAGACTGGATGGGCCACTGGCCTGATCCAACATTGGCTTTTCTTATGTTCTTAACATCTATTAACAGCTCGTTTAAAGTCCGGTAGCACCTTTTTAGAGACCTACCAAGATCTTCAAGGTTTGCGCTTTCCAGAGTCCAATCTCTGACAAAGTTTTGATTGGATAGAGCTCTAACTATGGCATTCCACAGAAATCTTACTCATCTCTAGGGCTACTGGACTGCAAATACGTAAAAACATGCCTATACGCCATGTATTCAAATGCTGATACGGTTGTAAAGCCCACTGGATCACGGGAGGTGGGCATTTAATTCTCCAGTGTCGGCTGGAACGAAAGTCCTTTAGCATCGGTAACAGAATGGAGGGTCCATTTTTGTCGACCACCTTTTAGCCTCCAGGAGACAAGCAAAGGGTTTAAAATCTCCCTCCAAGGAGGTTAAGGTGGCACACACTGATCTCTTCCTGTGGCCTATTTTATACTCGAAAGTCTGTGTGGCAGGTTTGGCTGTGGGAGCTTGGAAGAGCTCACATGCCATATTTGTAACCACCAGGGCTATTTTGGGGCAGGAACACATCGGAACAGTGTTCCGGCTGACTTCTGAGCTGGCCACGCCTACAGCTTCCCCCCCCCCCCAAGTTCCCCACAAGTCGCGGGACACCTGGGGATGCCGATCCTGGGAGGGAGCTGCGCTGTCAGGGGTGTGGCCTAACAGGCTAATGACTCTGCTGTTGGGTGTGGCCTATTATGCTAATGAGTTCCTGCTGGGCTTTTTCTACCCAAAAAGCCCTGGTAACCACACCATGCCACAATGATTCTTATCCTCTGGCCTTTCAAGATCTGCCTTTCAAGTTCTAATCACTGGCAGCTCGGCCGGAAGGCAACCGGCCCGGGTATTTACCTGACTCTCCGAGCCAGCCCATTTGAACCTGGCATGCACGGCAGGGAACACCCCAAACCAAAAAACTGAAGCCTTGATACTAATGCAGGTGGGCGGGGAGGGGACTGATGCCCAATGCTCTCCCTGAGCTGCGGAGTCCCGTGAGCCAAAATCCTACATTAAAGCTGCGAGCGAGCGATTTGGCTGCACGGCAGGAGCCGGAAGGACGTAAGCCGGAAGCTGCAGCCGGAAGAGCAGTCACGCGCAGAAGGAAACATCAAGCCTGCCGGAGGTGGTCGCCAGTTAACCAGAAGACCCCAGAATAACACCCGTAGCCCGCCGGAAGAAGAACGTGCCGCCAACAGTGTGTCGGTAGGTAGTCCCCCCCCCCCTTGTGAAATTGTGGCCCTAGGTAGGTGAACCACTACTACACTAGTAGCAGTATACTGTAAACCACTCTGAGACCCATTAGGGGTCATGGGCGGTATATTAAGTCCAATGTAAATAAAATAAAAATAAATGAAATAAAAAATAAATCAGTCTGCTGCCCAGGAGCCCTCCTCCCTGAAGCTAAGGCCAAAACGGGTGAGCCGGAGGCTAAAAAACTTTCTGAGTTGGCTCACGCTCACTCAGCTCAGAGGGAGGACTGCCACGTCCCCTCGGACTGGCGGCTGGAAGGAGGCAGCCCCCCCCCCCCGAGCGCTGTTACCTTGGCGGGCCAGGGCCCCTCCAGGCTGGAATCCAGCAGGGAGCTCTCTGCCCCGAAGCTCTCCTCTTCCTCCGGCACGCTGATGAAGATGGTGGGCGTCTCCGCCTCCGGCACGTCCTCGTCCACGGAGCCCTCGGCGGGGGGGAGCGGGGTGGGCGGGGCCGCCGGGCGGGGGGGCTGCTGCAGCTGCTGCTTCAATTTCTGCTCCTCCTCCAGCTGGCGCTTGAGGGCCTTCTCCTGGGCCAGGCGCAGGGCAATGAGGTCCTGCGACACCCGGGGCAGGAGGGGGAGGGGCTCCACGTCCTCCTGGGCGGGGAGAGAAGGGGCCTGCAGAAAGACACACACACCCCAGTCACTACCTGGTTCGGGCCTACTGAGGGCCAGTGCCTGACTTGTGAGGAGCTGGGCCTTCAGTGGTAGAGCCTCTGCTTGGCATGCAGAAGGACCCAGGTTCAATCCCCGGCATCTCCAGGTAAAAGGACCAGGCAGGAGGGGATGGGAAAGGCCTCCGCCTGAGACCCTGGAGAGCCATGAAGAGGGGCTTTAGCTCAGTGGAAGGTCCCAGGTTCAATCCCCGGCATCTCCAGGTAAAAGGACCAGGCAGGAGGGGATGGGAAAGGCCTCCGCCTGAGACCCTGGAGAGCCATGAAGAGGGGCTTTAGCTCAGTGGAAGGTCCCAGGTTCAATCCCCGGCATCTCCAGGTAAAAGGACCAGGCAGGAGGGGATGGGAAAGGCCTCCGCCTGAGACCCTGGAGAGCCATGAAGAGGGGCTTTAGCTCAGTGGAAGGTCCCAGGTTCAATCCCCGGCATCTCCAGGTAAAAGGACCAGGCAGGAGGGGAGGGGATGGGAAAGACCTCTGCCTAAGACCCTGGAGAGCTATGAAGTGGGGTCGTGGTTCAGTGGAAGGAGAACATCTGCTTAGCAGGCAGAACGTCCCAGGTTCAATTGCCGGCATCTCCAGTTAAAAGGACCAGGCAGGAGGGGATGGGAAAGACCTCCGCCTGAGACCCTGGAGAGCCGCTGCCAGTCTGACTAGACGACTTTGTTGGAGTGAGTTTCCCAGGACTTATGGCTATTGCAAAGAAACTGCATCTCCTGTGACTGGCACCCATGCCAGGCCTCCAAAGTCCGGCCTCGCCCTGCCCGCCCACCAAATTTTGCAACCGCACAGAAGCCGTGTGTTTCCAAAAAACAAGAGTCGCTGCATTTTATCATAGAATCCTAGAGTTGGAAGGGGCCATCCAGATCGTCTAGTCTGACCCCCTGCCGCATGCAGGACCAGCCTAGAGTATTTCTGACAAATATTCGTCCAGCCTCTTCTTTAAAGCTGCGGGCAAAGGGGAGCTCCCCACCTCCCTTGGCAGCTAATTCCACCTTGGAACCACTCTGACCGCGAAGAAGTGTTTCCTAATATCCAGCCGATGCCTTTCTGCACGTAATTTAAACCCGTTGCTTCGGGTCCTGCCCTCTGCTGCCAACTGGAACAGCTCCTGGCCTTCCTCCAAATGACAGCCTTTCAAATATTTAAAGAGAGCAATCATGCCCCCCTCAGTCTCCTCCGAACTAAACGTTCCCAGGGCCCTCAGCCTTTCCTCGCAGGGCTCGGTCTCCAGACCCCCGATCATCCTCGCCACTCTCTTTACAGAAACTCCCATTTGCAAAGTTTGGGCTGGAAGACCCCCCCACACCCTCCCAGCGATCCTTCTCCCCTCGTATTTCCAGCACCACCACCACCCCCCAAAAAACAACAACCCTGCATGCATTCATTGCAGTGGTGCCAGAGGCCCCCGTCTCGTGCTCCGACCGACCTCTCTCTCTCTCCTCGGCGCCTTGCTGCTCCTGGGCACAGCCGTGCCCCGCCCTTCCTCCAGCAGCTGAGGGTCTTTCCCTTCCAGGTCTTGCTTGCCGCTGGCCTCCAGGATGGCCATGGTGGAGTTGGGGATGTGGGCTTGCTGGGGGAGGAGAAGCAGAGGGCAGAGGCCTTGTTATACAGAGGTCAGCGCTGCTGCAAGGGGTGCCTACAGCCAGCGCGGGGTAGTGGTTAAGAGTGGAAGAAGCAGAAGCAGAGATTGGATCTATACCCCACCCTTCACTACACAAGGGAGTCTCAGAGTGGCTTACAAACTCCTTTCCCTTCCCCTCCCCACTACAGACACCCTGGGAGGTAGGTGGGGCTGAGAGAGCTCTTTCGAGAACTGCCCTTGAGAGAACAGCTCTGAAATAACTTGTGACTGACCCAAGGTCACACCAGCAGCTGCAAGTGAGGAGTGGGGAATCAAACCCGGCTCTCCCAGATTAGAGTCCCCTCCCCCTCTACAATCCCCATTCCTCCTCCACACGAAGCCTGCTGGGCGACCTTGGGCCAGTCACGATTCTCTCAGAGCTCTCTCCGCCCCACCTACTTTACAAGCTGCCTGTCGTGGGGAGAGGAAGGGAAGGCGATTGTAAGATGCTTTGGGACCCAAGGTAGAGAAGAAGGAGAAGAGATTGGATTTATACCCCACCCTTCACTGCCCGAAGGAGTCTCAGAGCGGCTTACAACCTCTTTTGCCTTCCCCTCCACACAACAGACACCCTGTGAGGCAGGTGGGGCTGAGAGAGCTCTTTCACCTACCTCACAAGGTGCCTGTTATGGGGAGAGGAAGGGAAGGCGATTGTAAGCCATTTTGAGACTCCTTCTGGTAGACCAAAGCAGGGTATAAAAATCTACTCTTTTTCTCCTTGCGCTCGGCAAGAAGAAGAGAAGAGATTGGATTTATACCCTGCACTTCACTACCTGAGGGAGTCTCAGAGTGGCTTACAACCTCCTTTCCTCTCCCCTCCCCACAACAGACACCCTGTGTGAGGTAGGTGGGGCTGAGAGAGCTCTCTAGAGAACAGCCCTTGAGAGAACAGCTCCGAGAGAACTTGTGACTGACCCAAGGTCACACCAGCAGCTGCACACGGAGAAGTGGGGAATCAAACCCGGTTCTCCCAGATTAGAGTCCGCGCTCTTAACCACTACACCAACCTGGCTCCAAGTAGTGGTTCTGGTCTGCAATTCAATTCCTCTCCTTCTTAAACCCCTCCCCTCCAATCTACTCGAGACACTCTCCTTGAGCAGTGATGGTGGAAAATGCCGTCAATTCGCAGCCGACTTACAGCCACCCACCGGTCCGGTTTTCAAGGCAAGAGACCTTCCGAGGTCTGCTGCTGCGTCGCGACCCCGGTCCTTCCTTAGTGGCCTCCTGTCCAAGCGCTAACCAGGGTGCCTTCAAGCCTCCTCCCGCTCTGCGCCCCGGAGGACCCCGCGTTCAGCGGTTCCGGCCGCGGTTCTGGCCCGTACCTGGTGCGGGGTGAAGGAGCGGACGTGGGCCAGCAGGGGCTCCCGCAGCTCCGGGCATTTCTCAAAGACGGCGTTCAGCTGCTGGGGGGGCAACTGGAGGATGACCTGGAAGGACTGGGGCTTGGTCCGCTGGCAGCACTTGATGAAGCCCTCCCACACCTTGGGGTACTTCCACACCTGGGGGGAGGGAAGCAGAGGAGGAAAGTGGAACGGAAACCGGCCCGCCTCGAAGGGCCATTTGTAAGGACTATGAATCCTCTGACTTGCACAATACAGCTCTTAACTAGCAGTTCCTGCAGGCCTGTAGCTACAGCGGGGCATTCCGGGGCTAGGCCCCCCGACTTACTGGCAAGGCCCCCCTACTTCCCATCCAGTCCAGGGGCCCCCCAGTGGTGGCAGAGGCAGGGAAGGAGCCGGCTGTTCCTTAATTCGATTAGCCAGTGCCCCTTAAGGAATTTAAATCCCCCCCTTATAAAAAATCCAGGCTACGGGCCTGAGTTCATGGAGTGCCTCAGGTGCCAGATGGCCCGGTTGATTTTCTTAAAAGTGTCCCTTCCCCAGCCACCATCTTCCAAAAGTCAGCACCTGCGTGGGTCGGCATGTGCCACAGCGAGCGCGACCAATCTTCCCTTGAGGCCAAAAAAAAATTCCGTCCATGTGCCGGTCACGTTGATCCCGTTCTGCCCACGGGGCAAAGTCTATATATTCGGTGGATTGATTTATCCACGGCTTTCCCTTTCCCAGCCCGCCCACCACCCCAAAGCGAGAGCTGCCTCTTGCGAGGTTAGTCCGAAGCCTGTCTAGTCCAGGGGGACCTTCCCAGCAGTGGACGGCCAAGGAAACAGCCCTGTGTTTGGTACTCAAAGGTAGGCAGCTGCTGAACATGGAGGCTCTAGTCACTTGTCATGCTCCCTCTAAGCTGTGGAGTCTTGTGAGCAAAAATCCTACTTTGCGAGCGACTGGCATTAATGTTGTGAGCGACTGATTTGGCCGCTGCATAAATTAGTTTGCTCTGGAGCCCTCCTTCCTGATCGGAGACAGAAATGTGTGAGCCGGAGGCTAAAAACCTGTGAGCTGGCTCAGACTAACTCAGCTTAGAGGGAACACTGGGGGTAGCTCTCCACCCCTTAATGCATGCGGTTAAATTGATAATCGCACCTGGGGCGTGCAAGAACTCCCTCCAGGCGACCACCAGGCAGGAAGAAGTTTGGTAAGTTAGTCGGAGACTAAAAACCTGTGAGCTGGCTCACACTAACTCCGCTTAGAGGGAGCACTGGGGGTAGCTCCTCACCCCTTAATACATGCGTTAAATTGATAATCGCCTGGGACGAGAAAGAATTCCCTCCAGGTGATCACCAGGCAGGAAGAAGTTGGGTAAGTTAGTCGGAGACTAAAAACCTGTGAGCTGGCTCACACTAACTCCGCTTAGAGGGAGCACTGGGGGTAGCTCCTCACCCCTTAATACATGCGTTAAATTGATAATCGCCTGGGACGAGAAAGAATTCCCTCCAGGTGATCACTAGGCAGGAAGAAGCTGGGTAAATGTGTGAGCCGGAGGCTAAAAACCTGTGAGCTGGCTCACACTAACTCCGCTTAGAGGGAGCAGTGCTTGTCAACGCTATTTCGTTGATGTCCTTCATTGTCTGCCTTTCTTGTTGAGACTAACGGCCACTGACAGACTTCCTGTCTGAAATCAGAGCCGTCAGCGGGGCAAGCCATAAACTGCAGAGGCCCAACTTAAATCCCCGCCCAACTGTCCCGCTTTCTAGGGGACTGTGGGCCAATTGCAACCTAGCATGGTTGCCGTGGAGATAAAATGCAGGAACGGCAAACTGGCGGCACCTCCGGGGAAGGGCGGGGTTAAAACACAACAGACGGAATTTGCCCGACCGTTTTTAAAAAGCTACCGGAACTCGACACACCCGTCCGTTCTCGGGCAGCAACCCACACCTCCCACTCGCTGCAGACAAGCGTTTCGGCTGCCGAGGAGACAGAAGACAGCCGCCCCGTTCTATCTGGCAAGGCATCCCTTTTCTGGAAGAGTATCAGCTTGGCTCAAGAAGGCTCATCTCTGATGTGCCAGGGGAACCGTGTGCCCGGTGGACGGAAAGCAAACGGGGCCCCGTCCGGCGCCCTCCCCCCACCTGCTTCAAGATGAGGCGGGACAGGATGTTCATGACGAAGCCACCGAGGCGCGGGTACATGGTCAGCGACTGGATCACGGTCCGCATGAGGAGCATGGGCAGCGGGTTCTGCTCCATCAGCTGCTGCATCACCACCGCCAGGACCTCCGAGGTGTAGACGTTGCGCTCGGCAAAGCACAGGTTGGTGGCTGCGGACGGGGAAAGAGGGGAGGGTTGGCTGACGGCCCAGATTGCCCCCCCCCCTAAAAGCAACGGCCATGAGATGGGAAAGAGACACCTGAGAGGAATCTCCCAAGTCACCGGCAGGTTGAGGGGGAGAAAAAAGACTTCAGTTATTGTCCCGAGCGAATGTGCGTACGAGGAAGGAACCAAAGTCCAGAACTCTAACCGATGCTCCCTCTAAGCCAGGGGTGGCCAGACTGTGGCTCGGGACCCACGTGCGGCTCTTTCACACATATTGTGTGGCTCCCGGCAGGGCGGCTGGGGAAGCGAAGGAGAGGCGTGCTTCCCTGATCGGTCTTCCCTTCCCCAGCCAGTGTTCCCCTCCCTGGGTAGGGTCAGGGGTCGTTTGGGCCCGGAGCGCGCCGGAGTGCTGCTCCGGGAGCCCAGGAGTGGGGACAAATGGTGGTGGCGGCAAGCCCCACCCCCAAGCGCCTTCTCTTTAGAGTCGTGTCGCAGCAGCAGCACGATTTCTCCATTGTATTCTATGGACCCCAGAGCACGACTCCAGAGAGAAGGGGTTTAAAGTTGGCAGGCGGGCTGGGGGGGGGGACGCGAAGAGAGAAGGGATTTAAACTTTAAACCCCTTCTCTCTTCGCTCCCCCCCCCCAGTCTGCCTTGGCAGGCCAGCTGGGGAAGGGAAAGGAAGGGAAGGCTTTTGAAGATGCCTCCCCCCCTTTTTGCCCTCCCCTTCTGACACCACTTTTGGTTGATATCAGGGGGCATGGCATATGCTAATGAGCTGTTATGCTAATAGCCTATTATACATGCTAATGAGCTCCTGCAGCTCTTTTTCTACGAAATGACTGCTGGGTAGGCTTGAGGTGGGGGGGAGCAGAGAAGAGAAAAAGAGGCTGGGTTTATACCCCGTCCTTCACGTGGAGTCTCAGAGTGGCTTACAAACGCCTTTCCCTTCCCCTCCCCACAACGGACACCGGCTGTGAGGTAGAAAGAAAGAAACTTTAACTCTAAATGTGTTCTCAAAGCCCCCTTCCCCAAGCCTACAAATATCTTTGGACAGATAACATCAATATCTGTTTTTATCCCTTGTGTTTTTATTTCTGGCAGTCTTGTTTTATGTTAATTGAACGCAAATCCGCATATTTTTCAATAAAAACACGTGTTATTTGTCCATGTGTTGCAGGTCTCAAACATCTGATGCTTATTCTGTGTGGCTCTGACGTTAAACAAGTTTGGCCACCCCTGGTCTAACCCCTGTGCCATCCCTCAAACGACAACTGCCCGCCCGCTGAAAAACTTCTTCCATGGATGTCGATTTGGGGGGGGGCCCCCGACACGAGCGGAGGAATACAATATCTGCAGCCAAGGAAGCCAGCAATGCTGGACACTCGACAGAACGGGATGCTAAGCAGGCCAACGGATTCCGTTCTGTGGAGGATAACCCCCAGCGTCCGGAATCTCTGTGCGGGGAACTCTTTGTAGCATCCGTGTGCTGCCTGTGAGCGGCTAAGCGAGAGGCACGCTACCTTCCTGGAAGCCTTACCTTTGATGATGGACTTCATGTCACACTTGGTGGAATCGATGTTGTGAAGGGCGATCAGCAGCTCTCCGGGGTTCAGCGGGGAAACCGCCGAGTTGCCTTCACCTGTCGGCAAGGGAGAAGCGTCAGCGTGGGCGGCCGCAAGGTGCGCCTAGCCTCTTAAGGGGACGGGCCCAACCGTTCAACCAGTCTCCTCCGAAACCAGTCTCTCCCCCCCACCTTTCTCTCAACCCGGCTTGCGATCCCCTCTCTGAGGAGGTCTGCCGGGCACAACCTGGGGTTTTCTGCTTGCAGTGTGGCCTCCCCCCTACCGTGCTGTGTTCCCAACAGGCGGTTGAAGACCTCTTTCACGACGATGGGATTCAGTTTGATGAGCTTTGGAAGAGCCTGGATCACTTCTTTCTGCAGGGAGGGACAGGGAGGAAACTCAAAGATCTGTTTGATTTGTCGGGGTAGTTCTGTCGGTCTGCAGTCGAACGACAGGGGTAGCCGGGGGTACTCTGTCTGGAGCACCAGAGAAGAACAAGAGTCCAGGAGCCACCTTAAAGACTGACAAAATATGTGGCAGGGGAGGAGCTTTCGGGAGGTCTTCAGATATCTGAAGTCAGCGGTGACTCACGAAAGCTCCTCCCTCGCCACATATTTTGTGAGACTTTAAGGTGGCTCCTGGACCCTTGTTCTTTTCTACTCCAGTAGGACAGCTAGGTTCGAGTCCGGGAGCCCCCCCAGAGACCGACGAGATTTTCGAGGTATGAATTTTCGAGAGTCAAAGGACTCTCGAAAATTCATACCTCGAAAATCTAGTCGGTCTCTCGGCCAATGTTCCCTCTAAGCTGTGGAAACTTGAGAGCAAAAATTCTACTTTGGAAGCTACTGGCATTAAACTTGTGAGCAAGCGGTTTGGCTACTGTATAAATTAGTCTGCTCTGGAGCCCCATCCTTCCTGAGCTAAGCCAAAAATGTGTGAGCCGGAGGCTAAAAAAACTGTGAGCTGGCTCACACTAACTCAGCTTAGAGGGAACACTGCTCTCGGCCGCTCCCGGACTCGAACCTAGCTGTTTAGATTGGTTTGACAGCAACCTGTTTCCCTGCTGTCCCCGTTTCCCCAGGAAGAGACAGCCTTGCTCCACGGGGCGCCCCCCCCGGCCTTCAAACAAAGCCTCTCTCTGGACCGCTTATTAAAGCCCCCTCTGGAACAAGACCTTCTCCCCTCCCATGTGAGTTACCACACATGGCTCCACTTCTAGCACACCCTTGGTTCCGGCTTTCCGTTGGGATTCCTTTTGCGGATCAGAGCTCCAGGCGCTTTGTCCGGCCGACAACCAACGCACGGACACGTTCGGCGCATTTATTCGTTAAGGTCATTGTATTTCGTTCTCGACAGACTGACTTTTTCGAACTGTTTCGTAGTTTCAGGCTGTATAGATTGGCTTTTATCGTGTGATGGCTACAGGTTACATGCTTTCGTGACCTCTTCTCTTGTGCTTATATTCTGTACGATGTCTTTGACTTTGATAAAATCTTTTTGGAACTTGAAGAAAAAAATTAAAGCCACCTCTAAAAGGAGCGGCAGCCAATCTTGGGCTGCCCTTTCACGCAGCGCCACCCTCTCGACTTTTTCAGTCTCTCCTAGACACACTATGGGCCTCAGCAGTCAGCACACTGGCCAATGCTGTATAATACCTAAAAGCAGGGGTCATTTCCTGCGGGATCGCACAGGAGCGGAGCGGAGCTCCCACAGTAAGGAGCCCAGGGGGCGGGCACATGCAACAGTTGGGCCACGAGGAGCAAGAAGCAGCCAGGTAAGTTGCAGAGCCCCCCCCCTG